TGAGAATTTTTCTATTGTCTCTGATTCAGCTATATACAAGTTTTGGAATTTCTTATGAACTCTTGAGAACACAATTGAAAACTTCTGTTTCCAATTTTTGGAGAAGGCATCTCAATTTCTAACGGCATCACTTCAAAGTTATTTACAAATAAATCTGTATCACGTAGTTTCTCCTATGATGATTATAGCGTTTGAAACAACGAAGTAGTTCACTTTTTAATAGAGAAATCTGGTTTGACGTTACGTTCTTGTGATTCCACAGAATTCCCTTTTACTCAAAAAGACGCTCTTAGAGTTATTTAAAATTTCCTCTTTGTAATCCAGTCCTATGTGATCGGCGATTCAGGCCTTTGATCAACGTTAGCATGTAACAGTACAAATAAGATGGCACTGAATTGACTGACGCTGTTGGTCTATGTAGAACTGCCGGGTCCTAACTGGAGTAAGATCCAGACAGTTAGAAATTTTCACTGAATTTCCATTTTTAGGTTTCTTCAAACTTGTCGAGAGTATCAGATGCTTGTTTGGAAATGTCAGTCGATTTCAAAAGTTATGTTGGTTTCCAGTCGAAGAAATATACGAGCTTGGGCGTATTATAAAATCGCTTCGTTCTCAACTCTCCCAAAGTTTGGCTCAGGTTTTTGCCATGCGGACTGTTTCCACGGAAACGGTAATAAGCCGAGTATTTTTGTTCGCGAAAGTCAGAAAGTTGAAAATAAACAGGTTTGATTTGAGTGCCACATAATAAAATACTTATCAACCTCGATTGCCCGAGCCGTATTGGATAATATTGGCCCTGTTTCGTTTGTGTACGGACCTTGCTGGGCACTGTCCGTACTGCCACAACCTCGGGCCAATATTCCCTATTACAGCCCTCACGTTCAATTAGTAAGAAGTTCGTACTAACTGAATCTGAGCAGAAAACTTCACGTAGATCTGAAGAGAGGGTTTTGGATGTTTGATTCGTTTTTCTTTTTTTTTTTCAGTGTCAAGCAATTCAAAATTTTAGTTTAGCTTAGACAATTTTCCAAGCTTCCGCATATTATACATAAATCACTTCAACACTTTCGCTTAACATTTCTATTCAAACACCCGATTCTCTTAGTTTGAAAAAACCGTTAATGGGTTAGTTTAAGCACAAATTCAACAAAAAGCACTTATTAATTTTAAACTTGAAAGAGTACCGCAGGAAAAAGTATTACATAAAGACTCGGGGAGGCCAGAATATACGAAACAGGTCACATGATTGCGACTTTTTCAGTAAGACACTCAATCTACGACGTTAAATAGAAGAGTTCCTCTGGCGTTCAGGATGATCTGACGAGCCATGAACGAGCAGTTGAGTGAGGAAACACTTTTCTTTCGTTTTCTGTCTGTGTTGTGATCATTCGAAGAACGTGATCTTTCCATTTTCCTCCCGGACACTACGCAAGCAGGTCGCGATATCTCTTAGCACTGTTGCCTGAACGTGTTTTCTCGCCTCTACCCCCAAAAGTACAGCTTTCTGAAACTTCACGAAACCGCGAGTCTCTGTTATAATTCCACTTCTGAACGACTCCGTGACAAATAAAATGTGATCAAGTAGCTTTAAGTGTCTTCTTTTTTCTCTGTATACGGTGGGGGTGGAAGGGATTCGTCAACCTCTTGGTAAGCCGGTAGATAAGGAAACTTAATAGTCTGGTACGCAGGGGGAGGGGGTCGTTCATCGTATCGAGCAATTCTTGATTCTCTCTCCACTCCTCTCCGGCTTGAGTAACCTCTTGGTCTGTGATGTCTGTGTGAGTGACGCGTGTGGCGATGAGGCGTAGAAGTAGACTGACTTGATGACCTCGATATCTAAAAATTAAAACCAATCGGATGGAAAAATATTTAAGTACTAAAAGTTATCTGCGGTTTAGTGACAGAAATGTGCAGTAAAACCGAAATTCCGCTTAAAGCAGTGTTGGAAGGGTGACTGGTCGCCAACAACCTTTGCGAGTTTTCTCCCTTAGACGGAACGAGTCTCCCCCTTTCATTTAACAGTTTTCCCCCAAAACATTCAACTGTTTTCTTCATGGCAGAACAACTTCCTTTTCTGCCAAAATCGTGACTTTCTTGTAACAACGTAAATTGTTTATTTAATCTGAAATTGCATGTTGTTCAACAGGAAAAGAATACTTTCTGTGGTAAGGAAACAAATCAAAAGATTTTGGGAAGGGTGAACTTGTTTTAAATTAGGTGGCATACTAGCGATTGTGGTACAAGGGCAAACTTGAAATGGTGCGAAAAAACCATAAATCGATAGAAGAGTGGATTGACTTTTGTTGCCTAAAGAAGGATTCTTATAACACGAACAAGCATGGTGTGCCAGACCTACAAGGATGAAACTCACAACATTTTTCCTATTTAAAGTAAAGTAAACAAATAAATTTCCTATAATTAATGCAGATTATTATCAGCAATGAAGTAGCAACCCAGAAGGTTTCATAACTTCAACTTACTCTTCTTTGTTGCCTAATTTCTTCCAGGGTGTTTTCTGATGCAACTGAAGTTGATGTGATCATACAAACAGATGTTGAAAGTTCAACAGGCTCAGCTGTGTGCTGAAGAAAGAAAAAAATACAAAAATAATCCCAAAAGTCAAAACTGACTCTAAGATAAAGGTTCCACTTGAGGGAATTAAAAGGTGTTTCAAGACCTGTGTTCTTTTCTTTTTTTTATTTAACCCTTTAACTCCCAAGATCTGATTGTTGATTCTCCCCTCTAACTGGTACACATTTCCTTACAAATTAGTCACAGGAATTTGGTGTTAGATCAAGAAAACAGCTTCTACTTTATGAGTTTTAGTATTCTCATCACATGATTACTGAATAATGTAAGGGATATCATAGCAATAATTTACAAGTTAATCCCTTCTTGGAGTTTAAGGATTAAAATGCCTCTATATGAAGAGATGACAATCATCTATTTTTTGGAAAGAAAAAGGATTTAGTGGTGTGATATTGATTCTGTAGTGCTCACAAAAACTCGTTTTAATATCAGGCCAAATTTTATTGAAAAAGATACTTGACCTTGTTATGGGGTTTTACTTCAACAGTTTGAGCCCTGAGCTATGAAGAATTCATGCATTAGCCTCTACAGAAGTAAACCTAAAATAAGGGTTACACTCACAGAAAAACAATCACTCTACCTGTAGTGGGTGAGGATTGATAAAGCAGTTGTGTTGAAAAAATGATGATTTAAATGTTACAAAGGCTCCTTTCATGCTCACAACAAATATGATTGCCACAACTCCAAGGAATGAACCAAAAAATAAGTTCCATGATACTTCTTTCTTCCCTGACACAATCAGTGGCAAAATGATCCAGAACATCAAGATACTTGTTATAATGGTCAAAACACAAAACATCAGAAAGAAATGAATCTGCAAAGACATAACATACAGAAAATTTTCAATCACCCTACAAATTAAGTGCACTGATTGTACAATCATATTTAATAAAGAAAAGCCTCCATTTGGCTCCAAATTTTTCTGAGAGAAAAGCTTAAGGACAGAAATGTTTATGAACACCTCATTGTTTAATAGCTGACTGTTCAAAAGGGATATTGATATTAAGAAAATTCTCCTTGTAAGTATCTTAGGAAATGTATAGAGAATAGAAGGGAGATTATGCATAATGATGTTAAAGGATAAAGGGCAAATTAGAAATGGTATATCCAATCAAGTGATGTATTTACACCAATGGTACATGTGTGGAATTATTTGATGGATAATGATTATTTCACTTTGCCTACAATCTCTTAGCTCCCCGGTGTAAATTTAGCAAACAATGCCCAGGTGAAAAGTTTTCTTCTCCAGTATGAAAAGTTTGAAATGACAAAGTTTCCAACCATAATATAAAAATAATGTGGAAAAGTTGTCTTCTGAGCTTTGGTGAGGTACTGTCCCATTTTGTTTTCTTTCTTTCAGAGAGAAGAGGAAAATATCTTGACAATGGTGATGAAGGTTGATCACTGCCTTGATACGTTTTTCTTGCTTTCTTGAATGAGGGCATTCACTCAACTGTCTAAAAGTTAACTTACAGTTGATTTTTTGGCATGTTTGTAACTAAGACATCCCACTCCTCCTGTGACAATAAACTGTAAAAGAAACCAAAAATACTTCTATCAGTCTGTTTAAAATAACCTCATTTTTCCATGTTTTCACCCAAAATAATAGTCTTCCAGAACTGACCATCAGAGAGGCAAGGGGAGTATTCTTTACCTGATAAGTCTCACCTGGCCTAGGGCATCTAAATGGCAAATTCTGCTACTTGAGCTTACTGATGGTTTATGCTTTTGTTTCAGTTTCTAGAAGGAGTCACTGGAAACATTTTGACTTCTGTTCCCAACACACTTAGAACTCTCCCTGTACTTACACAGATTAGAAGTATTGTTAAAAATGATAAATAATGCCTCTTTGTGCTATAATTGACCACTTCATGTACAGAATCTCACACAAAAATACTACTTACTTTGATTTTAAGAGAAAAACACAGATTAAAAATAACTAAAAAGATTATTTTTATTTTAAGTAAAGGGTGACCATGACCAGCTAATAGAGGTGACCACTTATTAGAGGTGAAAATTACAGTGATTAAGGGAAGAAAAATTCAGGACTTTGACTACTGACTGCTTAATACAGGGTGACCACTTAATACTGCATCACTTAATACAGGTTTAACTGTAGCTTTAAAGTACCAAAGTACCAATTCTTTAATGGAATGATACTATGGCACTTGTTTCCCTATTTCTATTTTAAAATGGTATAAAAAAAAATTGGTCGCACATAATTTTAGATTTTTGAAAATAAAAGGTCTCCAACATAACACCAAGATGTCTTAGAAACACCCTAAATGTTAGGTTAATGAACTGATACTCAAAAGGAAGTATGGTGATCCATTGTAATTATTCAAATTGTGATCAGAAAATCAACATTTTTCATTCCACAAAGTTAAATTAATCTGATTGACCATAGCTTGAATTTCTTTTGGTAATAGGTACGTACAAAAATTCATTTTGAGTCATATACCAAAATGGCTACAGTGTAGCTAGCCACTACACTTGAACTTATCTGACATTTGAGAAGAGGAAATTTAACTATTATTTGACCTGAATAAAGATATAAATTGATCAAAAAAGTTAACTCTCCCTCTAAGATTTTATAAATCCAAGCATAATCATCACCATGTCGATAGTAGAGCTACCACATAACAAACTATTATGAGTTTAGAATGACTCTTTGCTGTCGTTGAAAATCTAGTTAATAAGTGTAAATTTTGAAATTTTATTACTTCTTTGAAGCTGGAAAAAATAGAAGATTGACACAAGTTAGTAATTCAGCCGCTTTTTTTTTATAAAAATGCTACGTGATTTTGAAATAATTTTAAATCTCTACATAATATTTAAATTCAAACAATCGTCTCCACTTGCTATTAACACAACTTAAACTCATGTCTGTTTTTCTGATCATGGGTGGCATGTAAACAGGGCAACCTAATTCCCACAACTTCTTTGAAAATAAGAAAATATGCGTAACTGCTAACTAAATTTTGTTATTCAAACTAACAACTGAAAGAGTAGATATGGCGTAGCAAGATTAAGTAATTGTAAAAAGACTTCTCTTAATGTCGCCAAAAATAAACAATACAACATGCGAGATTATTTTTAAAGGGATCAGAGAAGGATTACGATGCCGATACCGCAAATCTGATAGGGTCAATTGGAATGTCGTTTGTTTATCATTGTGGAATCATTTTGAAAATTCCAACCCAACACAGAACAACACACAGAACGAATTCGGCACAATTAATTTTCATACCCACCAATATTCCAGACCACACTGGAAGTCCTTCGGGTTTAAACTTAAAAAATGCTCGATGATCCTCTTCTCTAGTATTAAATGCACCAATACCAACACCTACAAGGCCGCCTAATATTTGTACTATTCCTACATGAAGGGCTGTCTTGACAGAATAAAAATTCTCCGCCATTGTTTTAATTCTGCTCTTCCTGTCAACAGAAGCTGAACGGCCTGGCTACTAATGTAGATAAGGAGCGGTAGCTAAGGAGGACAGCAGCGAATCAACATGGCGTAAGTTTTGCGCCGAACATGGGCCAGTTTGTGGTTTTTGTCGTTTTGATCGGTGTTTTCTTCGCAGGACTGTCTTTCAAGTCACTGTGCCTCTATTTCATTGTCACTGGCGTAAGCTTTGGCTTGACATACTTATTTGTCGCAAATAAATGGGAGCTGGATGGTCTATTCGAGGAGCTATTCAAGATTCTCGAGCTGTTCGGTTTCGGAGCACCTCATCGTCTCGAGAACAGAATTCCTTACTCGTCTGCTTTCACAGATGATAATTTTTACCACCTGGATGAGATTCCCAAGCCTTTGGAGGAATGTTTCAAAACGCTTATCGAGAACATTATTCGTGATTTTATACGTTCATGGTACAAAGATGTCGGAGAAGGGGAAGACTTCATCTTCGAAACAAGGGAATCTCTAGAGATGTTGTGCATGGAGGGGTACAGACGTGCGACGCAGATTGATTCTCACTACTTGGTTGAACAAGCCTTGGTGGTTTTTCATGAACATCTACAAAGGTTTAATAAAGCAACGGCAGTTGTGAAGGCAAAAGACCCAAAACTGAGGCTTAACATTAGTTCCTCACAACTTCTCTGTCAAACCTATGAATCTCAATTAACTTCCACACCACCATCGCTTTTGAGTCCATCAGCAGAACTCAGTTACTTAAGGAATGTTATTGATTCACTATTAGCCGCAATGAGTCCAAAAGAAACCTATAGTTGTGACACAGGAAGATTCATTTTAAGAGAAATTTTAACTGTGCAAGTGATGCTACCTTTAGTTAGACTTATGACAGACCCAGACTGGATAAGTCAGGCAGTGATTGATATTTTGTCAGATGACAATGATGTGCAGGTTAAGGAAGTTAGTAAATCAAGTGTTGAGGGGAGTCATCCTATTGTGGAAAGTTGTGATGAACCCAGAAATGCTGTAAAGTCACAGTTTACTAAAAAGATACATACAGCCCCAGTGACAGAGAGCATCCCACCAGATCATGATCAGGAGAAGTCAAAGGAAGAAGGAGTGAAAAATATCCCTAGGAAAGAAAGTAAGGAATCTATCGACGACCCGGGAGAGAGGATTGAAATTACGTTTCCAGGAAGTGAAGAAAACCCAGATTTCAAGTGGTCAGTAAGTTCTCAAAGGCAGCCTCCAGTTGGAGAGAGTCAGCATGATAATTCAGAGTCCTTTTTGGTTATTTCAGTGGAAGAGAACAAAGAGGAGTTAAGTAGGAGGGAAGAGCAAAGTCCAAATGAAGGAAACTGGTCAACAGAGGTTGCTCCACCTTCTTCAGTAGAAAACCTGACATCCTTTAGTTTATCATCGTCATGGGGAATTTGTCCATCATCCCGAGACAGATCTTTTAACACAGGTAGTTTTGAAGACATGAAAGCAAATCTCTCAAAAGTTGAAAGTAATGATGTTGGGGGAAGGCTGGGAGGACTTGGAAGTAACTTAAAACAACTAACTTGCTGTCACAAATTTGAAGAAAGTGTTAATCAGGCTGCGAACCACCATAAGTCAAAACAAAAGGGAAGTAATGTGGAGGATGAGCCGTCTCCAAGGGTCAGAACTAGAAGCCTGTCTCTTCCAGGATGTGATGAACTCTTTGAAAATAGACCTAATGGTGAACTCATAAGATCTGTCAGTGTACCCAGCAGGTTGGAAATTGCAGATTTCAATGATTTTGAAGAATTTTTCACTTCAACCAGTCCAAGAAGGTTTAACAACCCTCAGTTGTATGGCAGAAGCTTTTGTAGCAGCTCAGACAGCTTTAAGTCAATGTCAAGTGAAGAAGAACCTTTAGATGGATATATTGAGAGGGGAGAAGAAGCATTTGAGCATTGTGAAGATGTTAGGTACAGTATGGGCTCTCACTGGGGAGGTGCAAGACAGAGAATAACTAAACAAGCTTCCTTTGAGGAGTCCCACGAGAAACAGTCATCCAATTCTTCTCCAGGAGCTTTGACTAGTTCTAAAGACATATTGTTACCAACCAACTATGAAAGATTAAGAAGCACCAAAAGAGCATTGCAAAGTCAAAAGGAGATATCAGAGTTAGCAGACATCAAGGAATCCTCTTTAGAAGATGCAGGAAAAGATCACTCTGACAGTGGTGCTGTCCCTCAACAGAAGCCTCTACGCTTTGGATTTGGAGCAAACAATACAGAATCCTCCTTTGGTGATGTTTTTCTAACTGCAGGAAAGAAACTTGTCAACATCATGAAGTTTGATAGCCTGAGCAGCAGTAGTGCAAAGTCAACAGAAACAAGTTCCCTTTCAGGAAGTGAATCCCTAGATTATACTTCAGGGAATCAAAGCAAAGTTACAACAAAGAAAGAGTCATTAGGTGATGGAAGAACAACATACAGTTCATTTAGTGGAAGACGGTTATCAAGAAGTGATGCTGTGATCCAAGAATCTGTGGATAGTGGAGGAGAGGCATATTTTGGAACACCTAGGGAGGATCATGTACAAGAGATTAAGGATATGAAAAGGAAGGGAGAAACAGTAGATGGAAGTGATGTGGGAGTGGTGAAGAGAATGCATCCTAGTCAATTGATTACCATTCCCAGCACAATTGTAGCTCTTGAAACAACATGGGAACCAGGGAGAAACAAGTACACATTGTACAAAATAGAGGTACATATTGTACTATAGTATTTGAATGTTGTTTACTAATAAAGCCTAACCTTTAGGTGGAAACTGAAGCTAAGTGTTAAGGTTTGGATTCAGACCAAATCTAATGCTAGTGCTCATCTGATAACTGATAACACAGATTTTACCAGTGTACAACTTCTTATCTTGAAAACAAGAGTTAAATTGTACATTGCAATTGTTAAACTACTTAGGTTTACTGTTATAATAATACACATGAAAAGTGCTGATTGGCTAGAAAAGAGTGAAGTTATCTTGTAACATTAGTGCCAATTTGTCTTGAGAAAGGACCAAATGATGAACATTTTTAACAACAGCCAAGTTTCCTTTATTGCTGGCCACTAAAAGCATGGTCCTGGTCGTTTGAAGGTTGGATAATGCTAACCACTGGATAAATCTCTATCCAGGTGATAATGCAATATGTTTGGCAACTGCGTTTCTGTAGGGTAGCAAGTTATCCATTGGATAGCATTATTCACTCTTTATATTACTGGGCTCTGGACCTGATGTTTCAAAACAGCAGGCTGGCTGTTCTTTTCAAGGGCAATGTAACACTCTTATTGTACTTTACTAGGTTTTTAAATATATTATTTAATTAGCAATTGTAAGTCAGACTTCATTAATCCATTCGAACTAATGATTACCTATGCTAATTGGTCTTAATTGTTTTTGTTGTAACATTTTTTAGTAAGAAGTTGAAAAAGGCTCTTACTTGGTGTAGAAGACACAGTTGACATAAAACAATAGGGAGTAAAAAGACAAAAGAATGAGGAAAACAGTAAAAACTACAGATTAATGAGGCAGTGTTCTATTGTGATTTGTTCTGTGTGTTCTGCATCAAGAAGGAGACTTTGAAGCTGCCATGAACTAGGTTTTCATAGGGTATATTTAAGTCATGCATGCTTGTTGCATTTGTAGTACTTTTTTCACAAACAATGTTGTCACAAATTCATTTTGTGTTTGTTGCTGGTTACTTTGGACAGTATGACATTAGGATTTGGAATGATGTATATAAAGCAGCAATTAAGGAAGCTAACAATGCAGCAAAGAAAGAAAGAACAAAGAGAAAGCTCTATGCTGGTGCAGATAATCCACCAGAGGATGTGGAAATTTCAATGGATATGATCAAGAGAAATGTCCCCCTGAAGCGTGTGATAAACCGACGCTACAGAGAGTTTATGGAGCTTCATAATCGTTTAACTGGTGGAAAGCTGTCAGGTTACATGAAAGGTGATTTAAAATTAGAATTTGTAAATCCAGGCCTATGTTATAGAAATATTATTTTCAACGTAAACATAAATTCAATTAACCCCTCTACACCCTATTGTCAGTATACATATTCTTCATACTATTCTCTTACTTAAACTTACCTAGGGTGTTGACAAAGCAAAGTTGTTTAACAATGAAGAGCCTCTCTAGAGCCTCAAAGAACAAATTTTCACTCAAAATTTCAGTTATCAAACATTTTTAAACTTCCTTATGTTTCTTATCAACATCTGTTTTGAAAAATACAATTAAAAAGATAGGTCACAGTGCTTATTTATGAGATGAGATGGTCTAAACTTACACTATTTATACATGTACTTGCGCAAATCACGCGTGACATTTCATAGATTCACAGCACGTTTTGCGGCAGCTGGAAGCAAGGGTTTTTGGGGTAACACAAGAGAAAGGTAGAAAGTCTTGGCCATAATGGAACAATTTCATATATAATTTGTTGAAAAATCACGAAATTTAAACAATATCAACTCAAGATGTTCCTATTGTCATTGCTCTCAAAGCCATAATTTTCATTTGCAAGTAGTGGGCTGTGTGCTGGCTTTTAGCTATATCTTTCCCTTCAATGAATTTTTTTCATTTCTTCAAATAAAAAGGAATGATTTGTACACCAAAATTATGCAATAAAATATATGGGTCACTGTGCATACCTCTAAACTGGCCTATTGATTGAAAAACAATACAGTGATCTCAGAATATGCACACTTATTCTCCTGAATACATGAATTTTTAATGCAGTGCAGGATGCGCAATGCAATACTGAGGAATCACCTTAAGGAAATCTACCACAGGTAAAAAATATTGGAGCAGTCTTGACAGAACAATCACTCAATAGTCACCAACGTTTTGATGTCTCGTGTAGGGCTTGAAGAACATATCATTTTAAAAAATGCATGCTTAGAACTGGTTGCCAGGGATTTCAAGAGCTATAGCTTAAACTATTTTAAAAAATATTCTCAAGGGGAAATTTTCAAACATTTCTTTGGACAT